CGGGGCGCCGCTGCCCGTCAACCGCGAGCTGCGCCGCCAGCCGCGGGGCTGCCCGGGCTCCGTGCCAGGTGGCGGCCGGGGTTCCTCTCAGGCGCCACCGCGGCGGGGGGAGGGCGCCCCGCACTGGGGAGTCCTCGCTCCCGACCCAGCGCGGAGATTCTGGGCCGGGGACAGGCTCAGGAGCCCCCTGAAGAGCGCGGGGAGAGCACAGCCCGTGGGGTCCCGCGGGAACAGCAAACACTCAGGCGCCCCGACGGCGGCCTGTGATGCGGCGTGGGGCGCGGCCCGCGTGGCAGGAGTCGGGAGCAGTGGCCCGGCCATGGGCTCGGGGTGGCGGGTGGGGGGCCGGCTGGTGCACCCAGAGGCTGCGGCCGGGAACCAGGGCCGTAGCGTGGGGGGCAGCCCCCTCCGCTGGACTTCCGCCCTGACCGCCACCACACTGGGTGGGTCATCGTTTTCCCTAATGAAATAGCATCACGAATTCCTTCCCACATGTCTTAATCTCAACGGTGTTTGAGTCTCTAGTTAAGAACCCAAGCAGTACAGCTGCCGCTCGCCTCACGCCCTTTTCTATCACCCGCCTTCTCCCGCAGAAAGCGGTGCCTGGTCTTGTTTGGGGTCCGCGGAGGCCTCAGCTTATCCCGTTGCCCCCACTCCCACACCTGGCCCCGGGCCCGCCCACCCGCACTGTCCCGAGCCGCGGTCTGCGCCCCCATCCAAGAGCCTGCACCGGGGCTCAGGGAACACACAGCACCCACCCACCTCCCACAGAGAACCGCCCCCGCCCCCGCCCCGCCCCCGCGCTGCTGGTATAAAAGCTCTGGTTCTCGGCATCTCGGCGAGACGAAACTCCCTGTCCCGGCGGCTCCGGTTCCAGGTACCACTCGGGACCCCAACCCCCGCGGAGCTAGATGGGGCATCTCCGGGTTCGCGGTGAAGGCGGGGGTCGCTACGAACCGGCGGGGGGCTTTCGGGACGGGGAGGCGCCCTCCTCGCGGTTGAGGGTTAGGTTTCGTTTTCCGGCGACCGCGGTTTCGCTTTCCCGAAGCCCAGCCGCTGCAGCGGCCGTTCTCGTCTGTCTCCGCAGCTCCAGCCTGCGCGCCCCGCAGGCCCGGACGCTGGCTCAACACCTGTGACTTCACGTGTGCGCTCCGCCACATCTGTTGTCACATCCATCGTGCCACCTTTGCCAAGAAACCCATCCCTGGGCAACGTCGTGGCCATAAGCCTTCAACCCACATCTGTGACCCCAACTCCTGTAACAACTGGGCCACACTTGTGACACCGAGCCATACTACCTGCGGCGACACATAGGCAACCCTTCCCTCACCTGCGGCAACGCCTGACTGCCACTCGTGATCACAACCCCTCGCAGTGGGAGCCATGGCTGCGGCCCCAGAGAGGTGAGAGCCTGGCCGCCTCCCCACCGCCCGCCCCGCGCACCCGCCCGCCCGCCCGCCCGCGCCCTGACCTGCCGTCTGCTCCGCCCGCAGCGGGACCCCGCGCGTGCTGTTTGCAGACTGGCTTTTGGGCGAGGTAAGCAGCGGCCGCTACGAGGGGCTGCGGTGGCTCGACGCGGCCCGCACGCGCTTCCGCGTCCCCTGGAAGCACTTTGCGCGGAAGGATCTGGGAGAGCCCGATTCGCGCATCTTCAAGGTGGGTCTCCAGCCCCGCCCGGAGTGGGAGGCTCAGCCCAGGCCCAGGCCAGCTCTCCCAGGCGCACGCCTTCCGTCTCTGTCGCCAGGCTTGGGCCGTGGCCCGCGGCAGGTGGCCGCTCAGCAGCGACACTCAGACCCCCGAGGGGGCGCTCAGGGCCAGCTGGAAAACCAACTTCCGGTGCGCGCTGCGCAGCACGCAGCGTTTCGTGATGCTGCAGGACAACTCGGGGGACTCTGTCGACCCGCATAAGGTGTACCAGCTCAGGTCGGAGCTGGGCTGGAGAGGTGAGCACCGGGGACGCTGCGCTCAGGGAGGCAGGACGTGCGGGGCGGAGGGACGCGCTGCGCAGAGCGTTGGCACTTGGTTCTGTCCAGGGGCAGCCCCTGGGTCAGATCTGGGCAGGGCGGTCGGTGCCGGTTTGTTAGAAGCTGGTGGGGCCTCTCGGGACTAGTGAAGGGAGCATGTTCGAGCGGAGCGTCTGAGGTCCCGTTGCTCCCCCCACCCCACCCCGATTCTCCCTCAGAAGGTCCAGGCAGTAACCAGGGCGAGGACCAGGCCCTCGAAGATGCCCCACACGCGAGGGTAAGGCCGCGCCGCGCTTCTTGCACCTGGGTGGGGGCTGTCACCGCTCACTGGCTGGGGGTGGCTTATGCTGCCACTGTCTTCCCCTGCAGGGTGGGCTACCCGGGACGTGCCTGGCACATGCTGCTGAGTGGCAGAACCCTGTGTCCTGTGCCCCAAGCCCTCTTCCTGGCCCAGCTGGCCCCGCCGGGGACCTCCTGCTTCAGGCTCTGCAGCAGAGCCTTCTGGAGGACCACCTGCTGGAAGGTGTGCAGGAAGCAGACCCAGGCCCCACAGAGGCTCTTGGTGAGGGGCTGCTGGCTGGTGTGCTCTGCCCTGGAAGGTTCTGTGTCCTGGGGAGGGGCAGGCAGGACAACAGTCCCTGGGGGCAAGGGGAGGGTGTCCAGCAGGTATGGTGCTGGCCACAGATGAGCCAGTACAGCTGTTCCCACTGTGGACCTCCTCCTCAGGTCCAGAGCTTCCTACCGAGGAGCTGTACCTGCCAGGGGCAGCGGAGGTGGCCCCCGGCCCCAAGTCACAGCCCCAGCCCCAAATGACAGGTGAGAGGAGCCAGGGGATGTGTGGAGGGAGGGGCTGGGGGACCAGGTGCCAGCTCAGGCCTTTTCCTCCAGATGCTGGCCCAGCCCCGGAGCCCTGGACCCAGACGGTGGGGCCCAGCTGCCCACAGCTCGGTCTGCACGCAGAGCCCAGCCTGAGGGTCCTGGAGGTGACCATCATGTACAAGGGCCGGATGGTGCTGCAGGAGGTGGTGGGACGCCCCAGCTGCGTGCTGCTGTACAGGGCCCCTGGCCTGGCTCTTGAGGCCACTGAGGCCCAGCTGGTGGCCTTCCCCAGCCCGGCCGAGCTGCCGGACCAGAAGCAGCTCCACTACACAGAGAAGTTGCTGCAGCATGTGGCCCCTGGCCTGCAGCTCGAGCTCCGGGGGCCTGTGCTGTGGGCCCGGCGCCAGGGCAAGTGTAGGGTCTACTGGGAGGTGGGCAGCCCCCTGGGCTGCGACAGCCCCTCCACGCCCGCGCGCCTGCTGCCGAGGGACCGCTACACGCCCATCTTTGACTTTCACACCTTTGTCCGAGGTTAGTGATGTTAGTGATGCCCTTGGTGTGACACCTGGTCCCTCCCTGCCCCCATTCACCCTGCACCTCCTCCGCTCACCGAAGCCGCATCCTACAGAGCTGGTGGAATTCCGGGCTCGCAGGCGCCAGGGCTCCCCACACTATACCATCTACCTGGGCTTCGGGCAGGACCTGTCGGCCGGGAGACCCAAGGAGAGGAGCCTGGTCCTGGTGAAGGTGAGGGTGGGGTCCCGCGTGGGGAGGCGGCAGCTGCTGCTGCACAGTCGCCTGGCCTGATGGCACCCTCCCTACAGCTGGAGCCGTGGCTGTGCCGGGCATACCTGGAGGGCGTGCAGCGCGAAGGCGTGTCCTCCCTGGACACCAGCAGCCTCAGCCTCTGCCTGTCTAGCAGCAACAGCCTGTATGATGACCTGGAGCACTTCCTGGACCACTTCTCAATGGAGGTGGAGCAGCCCGCTTAGGCTGCTGGGACTGTCCCCAATCCAATAAAAAGAATCAAGAGCCTGTGCTGGTGTCCTGAGCAGGGGCTGGCTTGGGGCTGGGCAAGGGACATAGGTGACCCCCCGCCACCCGCCCGGAGGCCTCCCATCTTCACAATGAAGAAACACGCCACACACTTTGGAGCCAACACACTCTACTCAAAGGACACACAGCGCTGTCCCAGGTGTGCCGGGGAGGGCCGCACCTGGGGCTCCGGGGGCCTGACAGGACAGCCGCCTCTGGGCCGCGCCCAGGACCCATCCCTGGCCTCGGACCTCTGCCGACACTATGCTCTGCCCCAATGGAGGTGGTTGAGTTGGGGGCACACTTGAGCAGTTATTTACAGAACATAATGAGCAAAGTGAGGGATTTCTAAACAAGAGACAGGCCCTCCGCTCCCATAGGCTCCTCCTGATCAGCAACGGGTTCACCTTCCAAGTACTGAGTCAATCGAAAAGTTTCTAAAGATAATCCATTTTTGATAAATTAGAACACAATGAAACAGTGTATCTATATATAAAAAAGTCCAGTTTAAACTGCACAACAGGTGCCCAGACCACGCGTGATCACAGGAGTGTGGGGTGTCCTGTTTGCTGCTGCCGCCACTCCCAGCGACCGGGGCCCCCGGCGCCTGGCAGGTCAGCCCTCAGGGCCCGGGGCGGGGGGCTCCTCATTGGCCTCGGGCCGGCGGTGTTTGCGCATGTGCCGGTACTTGTCCACATATGCCCGCACCAGGTTGCCCACCTTCACGGGGTTGATCTCCCCACTCTTGCTGTGGCAGATCTGGGGGGAGGGGACACAATTACCCAGAGGTCCTCCGCGTCCCATGTTCAGAGGTCACAGCCCACCAAGAAGCCAGCATGTCTCGGCCTCCCCCTCCCTTTCCGAACTGTCATTTAGCCAATTTCACAAGTGCCAAGGGCACTGTCCTTGCCCGACAAGCCCCTGGTGCCCCGCTCTCACCTTCTGAACGGCTTTGCGGAGGATGTCCTTGTACTCGTCCTTGGTCACCTCCCTCTTCTGGTAGAAGGGCTTGATGGCCAGCTTCACCTCCTCCACTGCCCGCTCCTGCACGTGCAGCTTCTTCATGTACTAGGAGCAGGGACGGCTGTGAGCGCCTGACTGCCCGGGGGCCGCGTGGCCAAGCCACAGGCCGAGGGCCCTTGGACACAAGGTCGTTCCCGCTGCCGTCCTGCCCGTGCCGCCCCTGGGGCAAGGAGGGGCGGGCCTCACCTCCTCATTCTTGACCTTCTCCGTGGCTGGCCGGGGAGTGGCCGTCTTCTCCTCTGAGTTGTTGGTGGTGGCGGCATGGCCAGCAGGCTCTGAGGCTGTGGTCAAGACGGTGGGCACTGGGGCCGAGCTCTGTGTCACCCAGCAGCCCGCCAGGGGAAGGCTCCCCTGCAGGATGAACTGGGGTGTGGGCTGGCTGACCGGTGCATAGGGCGGGGCACTCGAGGGCAGGACCGGGGCGGGAGGCAGGTTGGGGCTATAAACCTGGGTGAGAACACAGTCCGCTGAGCGCAGCTCCAATGCCGAAGGCGCTCCCAGCACCGTGCTCCCCACCCCCGCTCCCGAAGCACTGGGACCCTGTGCAGAAAGGGTGGCGCCGTGAGGCCCCCTGCCCCAGCCAGGCACAGCCTAGTGGCCCCCAGGTGCAAGGCCGTTTCCCTCCAGCCCAGGCACCCACCTGAGTGGGGTTAGCGTCGGGGAAGCCAGGCTCTGGAATCAGGTGGGCAGGGGGCTCAGGGAGGGGTGCCTGCTGGGGGGCAACCATAGGACCTCCATCTTCAGTTTCCCAGGCCTCTTCCGGGGGCTGCTGCGGCCTGTGAAGCGATGTCCCTGAGGGCCAACACAGGGAAGGTGGGTGCTCTGTGGCCACCTCAGCCGGAAGGCTGCACCCTGGCTAGAAAATTCCAGAAAAGCATCCGAGCAGCAAGGACCACAGGGCAGGCCCCAGCTGCCTCCCTGAGCAGACCTGCACCTCCAGTGTGACCCAGGAGCTCGTGTGCCACCCCATCCCGGAGGTGCCGCAGGAGCGCCCTACTCACATGGGGCTCTGTCCTCAGCCGGAGCGCCGCCTGCCGCCTCCTGCAGGTTCCAGGTGACTCTCTTCACGGGGGCTTTAGCCCGCAGAACGGGGGTCTGAGAGGGACCTTCCTCCTTCCCCACGGCGGGGCCTCCCAGGGCACAAGGCCCCACGATGGCCTTGGCTGAGTCCTGCTGCTGCAGTGAGAGCATGTCCTGGGGACCCTCTGCCCAGGGCAGGGGCTGCACAGCGTCTTCACCGTGGATCAGTGACACCTCCCTTCTGATGACGGCCATGGCCAGGCTGGCATCCTGCTGCTGGCTGGCAGGGGGCACAGCGGGTTTGGGGGGCATGGCCCGCTCTGGGGAGGAGTCCGTGCTCTCTGGGGAGGGCGGGGAGCTCATGTCGTCGAGCTGCATGAAGATGCCTTCACTTGGAAAGTCGTCAAACACGTGCCCCGCCTCGACGGAGTCCCCATAATCCAGGTCCTCAAGCAGACACTCGGCCGGCACCTCAGGGACAGGAGTGGCCTTCGGGGGGGTCTTGTTGGCCTCAACCCCTTCTGGTGAGGCGTGAGCTCCCTCCAAGGCCGGTGGTCTGGCTGGGGGCTCCCTGTCCGGCCTCGGCTCCTCCTGGGGCGGGGGCACCGGAGAGGCCCCCTTCAACGGCAACTTCCTCTCCAGGGAGCGGGGCCGCAACCGCTTCTCATGGGAATGAGGCCGCCGGTGCTCCCGGGACCTGTGGCGCCTCCTCTCATGGGAGCCCCGCCTGTCTCGGGGCCGCTCGCGGCTCCTCTCCCTTGTGCGGTGGGGCCTCCGGGCCCTTTCCAGGCTGCTGGGGGGAGACCCCCACCCCCGAACCCTGGACCCCGACCGCCTTCTCTTCCTCCTGCTGTCATGGTGCTCAAGGGAGGAGCTTCCAGGACTGCCAGAGCGGGACCTCCGCCGACCGGGGCCCCAGGAGCCCCTGCTCGGCTCCCTGCCCTTAGCCTTCCTTCTCTTGGCTCGCTCGTGGCTGCTGGAGCGGTCGCTGGAGGACCTCCGGCCCCTGGCCTTGGGCCGCTGCCTCTTGGCATGGTCCTCAGCCACCAACGGCGACACCGACCTTGAGCTCCCATTCCTGGAGCGGGAGCCGGAGCGGGAGCGGGAGCGGGAGCCGGAGCGGGAGCCAGAGCGGGTCCTCCCATGCTCCCTGGCAGGGGCCTGCTTCCTCCTGGCTTTCTTCCGGCTGCGGGAACTGGATGTGGAGCGGGAGCGGGAGCGCGAGCAGGGTGGGGACCGCAGCTCCACGACCCGGTGGGTGGTCGTCGGCGGGATGTCTGGCTCCGCCACGGTTACGCAGGTCACCATCCGCTCCTCAGAGCTGAAGAAGGTGCTGCGGGGTGGCAGGTCCTCGTCCTCCCAGGGCTCCTGCGGGGATGGCCTTTGCGCCCTGATGGCAGGGCCTCGGCCCTCGAGAGGCCCCTCCTCGCCCAGCCCATCAGGGGGCCCGTCGCCCTGGAGCTTGAGCATGGTGGAGGGAGGCCCCCTCGGGGGCTCGGGCTCTGTCCCCGAGCCGGCTTCCACAGTGTAGGAGGTGACGCAGCGCACAGTCTGCAGGGGCCCCGGGGCCTGGGGGCTATCGACAGAGATGGTGCGTGTGATCTCCGAGGGCAGCAGGCCGGGGCCCAGGCGCTCTGGGCTGCCGCCCGCGGAACTGGAGTCAGAGCCCGTGGGGTCAAAGGGGTCGTAGATCTCACTCTTGAGCTGCTTGGCCTTCCTGAGGGAAAAGAGGGGCGAGGGGCTCTCTTTCCTCGGCGCCTTGCTGTCCACAGGCCGGAACGTGTTGCAGAAGCCGGGGTTGGCGAGTCTGCCGGAATGCGCCGTGTTCCCGGGAATATTGATCCGGAAGCTCTGGAAGGTTGAGCCGCCACCCTTCCCTCTCGAGGGTCCCAGCGGGGCGGGGGGCTGGGTGCCACCCCTGGAGTGCATACTGGGCTCCTGTGGGCCCCTGCCACTGGGCTCGCCCTCTGTTCGGGCGCCGAGGCCGGGCTGCCCAGGGCCCTCCCTGCCTGTCAACCTGCTGATGCATGAACTGGGGATCTCAACACGCTGCCTGCCCTCCGGGGCCAGGGCTGCGTCCGCCCGTGTGCTGCCACTGCCATCCCTTTTGATCTTTGGTATCCTGGGTAGGTCGGAGATGTCAGTTCTCCTGGGTGCTGACTTGGGGGCCTGTGCTAGGCCGGCACTCTTAGATGGCAGGTTACCATTTGTGATCTTCGATGCGAACCTCAGAGGGAAAGCATGCTTGCTGTTGCCATTAAACTGGGGGGCGTCGCGTCGTTTTAAGCCAGGACCATTGACGTCTGACACATTCTGAGCCTGACCTGATCGAAGGGTCACTGAGGAGTCTGGTCTCACTACAGCCCCCGATGTGAGCACAGGGACACAGGAGGGGGCAGGCCTGGCCTGACAGTGTGACCCCAGGCTTCCAAGGCACCCTGAGCGAGGCACTCCGGGTTGCAGGCCGTCCCCAGACCCAGGACCTTCTCCACCTCGGGAGGGACCAACCGAGTTTCGCTGAAAAGAAACTGGTGCTAAAAGACAAGAAGGCAGACAGCAGTCAAGCCCCTCACTCTCCTTAGAAAGCTCAACCACTTGCTGAACTTTAATGAAAAGACGTTCTTTTACACTGTACACTTTAAATCACCCTGATTTGCTCCCTGGGCTGCACACTCTGTGCCGAGCCTGGGGGTAGCTGCTGTGGGGCCGCCCTTCTGCCCTACTGTCACGCTGCTTATGGATCAGGACGCGCCCAAGCCACTTCCGGCCACTTCAGAACAGGGTGGATGGGAGGTGCTTCCCACCTTCACAGTACCCATAGTCTATCACTGGCCCCACACCCCATGGCCATACCCCCACCCCCCCAAAAAATCCTGGCACAGCCCAGATCAGTGGGAGGGCTCCGGTGGCTGGCTCATGAGAAGAGGCTAGCTGCGCGACGGCCAAGGGGGCCTGTGGGCTGGCCTGGAGACCATCACCACCTAAATTATCTGCTTTGCGTCATTCGGAAAGTGATGGAAAAGTAATGGGGCAAAACAACTGGGGAAACCGCCATTTCCTTGAGTGGAAACCCACTGTCAGCACCTCGACACTCAGCACTCGGGAGCAAACACCGAGAGCCAGGGTGCTTCTGGGCCCCCGCAAGTGGGGAAGCGCGCAGTGGGCTGGCTGCGTTGGGCTGCCTCACCTGCCTGCTTGGCGCTGAGCGAGCCGTCCCGGTGGATGGTGACATCGGAACTGTCCATCAACAACAGGCTCTGGCCCGACAGGATGCTCCCCAGCAGGTCGGGGACCGGGGCGTCGTCCACTTCTGGCTCGGATGCCGTGGCAGGAATGCCCCTCCTGCAGGTAGACCAGGCCCTGTCATCACTGCCCCCACGGTCCCCAAGCCCCTCAGGCCCCGCAGAACCCCAGGCCTGGCTGCTGTGCTAAGAAGAGGCTGTCGCAGGCCCCAGGAGGAATGAGACCCACCCAGCCCCTCCGCATGAAGAAAAACAGGGTGTCTGGGGGCTGAAATCCTCGGGCACCACTGATGGGCAGAGCTGGCAGATGAGTCCCTACTGGTTTTGTTGGTTTGGTTCTTTTTTTCCTGAGGGCTCAAATACTAGAAGAGATCCAGCCAAAAGCACAGCACAGCAGCCTGGCTCCCTGCCTGGCACCCCCCCTGCTGGTGGACTCTGCGGCAGAAGCGGGCACACAGCCCTCAGGGGCTATGGCCTGCCACCTGCTGCGTCATTGTCCCCGTGAACTCGAGTCAGGACTAGCCACAGCACTTCTTCATTGAGGAGCCGAAGGGAAGGGATCTGTGTCTGGGTGGCAGAGCCCCCCCACCTCAAAGACACACCTGGAGAGCCCCATGGAGACAGGCCTGGCCACGGGCTGGTGAGACCGCAGGGCTGAGCGGGACAGGACCCTCCTCTTGGCACTCAGTGGGGAAGCAGGCGGCTCTTCGCTGCTGGAGGGGGACACAGGCCGAAGGGAACAGGTGACCCATGCCCAAGGTCCAGAGGGACATCTCCCAGCCCAGCAGGGATGGGACAAGCACTGAGCCACACGGCAGCCCTCAGGACCAGGTGTCAGGGCTGCACAGGAGGTTGCGCAAGCCTGTAAGGGGGGGGTAGGCTGGGGGCAGACGTGGAAGTCGGGTTTTCTCTGGGTGACGGGACAAGCTCTACACACCATCTAACTGAGAATGCTTTTCAGGAAGGGATCACCACCCTCACTGTACAGACGGGACTCTGGGCGCTAGCCACGCCCACTACAGGGGGTGACTGCCACCACTGAGCACGGAGGGTGACGCCTTGCTCCCCGACTGCAGGAGGTGCCTGCACAGGACTGGCCCCTGCAGTCACCTGTCGAAGGAGTCCAGCTCATAGGGGTCTCCAAACAGAAAAAGCGGGGCAGCTCCGACGTCCGCACGCATCATCCCCAGGGAGGGCTCTGCGGGCTTATGCACTGACAGGATGCAGGCCCCACGCATTGGCGTCCGGAGGCCCAGCGTCTGTGCAATGCGGCGACGGGCTGTGACTTCATTCTGAACCATAGTGACAAAGAGAAAGAATAACTGATCAGTGAGACTGAAACCAAGAGGTCCCAGAAATGCCATTTTGGATTAACAAATGGCCACATCCAACACCAGCTGAAGTCAGTGCCAAACAAGGCCGCTGGGCTTCGTGATGTGAACCAGTCTCGGGGGGCTTCACTAACCAGAGCCAGAGATGCACCCCAACAACTGCTGCGCCCCCTGCCGTGCCCACCATGGCCTTCACGCACGGCTGTCATCAGGTAGAATTTGCTTTTGAGCAAAAACTCCTAAGAGAGGGAAACAAACCCACTGACTGACAGCTGACCTGACAGCTGTGTTTTAACAGCCGCTCAAGGAGCAGACGTCGCGGGTACAGTTGCTCCTGGCACAGCCCACCCACGTGAGGGCAGTGGTTCCAGGAACGTCCGGCGGGGACGGCCAGGCCCCCGGCTCAGGGCGTGAAGAGGGGCTGGGGCCACACAGCGGCCGTAGCTTTGGCTTTGACTCACTGCAGGAATTTCGTGTGAATGAACAGCCACATGCTCAAACCCTCCGTTTAAATTAAAATACATTTGTACATGACTTTATGCTGCCTAGGCTGTGCTAACGACCGTGAGGGTCAATTCACATAAGCACGCACTCAGACAACGGCTACAATTCCACGGGTTAAATGTTTCAAATGTCTGGTCCAGGACTCGCAGGGGATGTGACACTTCAGAAAAGGGCCACATGGCAGCGGCTCAGCTACAAAGGGGCGAGCCAAGGACGGGAAACAACCTGAAGTGGACAGTGTGACACACGCCCCGCTCTGTCACCTTGGCCAGGACAAGACAGCCCACCGTGCAGGACTCCCGCGCTGGCATTTCCCGCTCAACACCCCAGCAGCTCCCACACCCCAGATAATAGTCAGGGAGTCTCCCCGACAAGCTGGTGGCCTGGGCCCAGCTACTCTGCCCCACAGGACCCACTCCTCAGGACACCTGGCCGCAAAGTGTCCTGGAAACCGCTTGTCTCCACCCATCTCCAGTCTGTGCAGTGGAAACGTCCATCAGGTCAGGGAACCCGACCAGCACAGAGAGGCTGTTCCCAGCACCCCACGCTCCAACTGTGCCGAGGAGCGGCCTGGCCACGTGTGAAGGGCACCTTTGGCTTCTGCCCCTTTCTCTTCCTCATGCGGCCCTGGCGTCTCTTGGATCTTGTCCCGGAGCCCCTGCTCCTCACGGCCGGTCTGCGCTGGGTCTTCTTTCTGCCTAGCACCTTCTTCCGTCTTCCTACAAAGAGATACTGACGGTCGGTGCTTCACCTTATGTGCCAGCTCCGCCCACCCGTGACCCCCAGGATGTGCCTGCACACCGCCAGGACGTGGCACAGGGACAACCACGTCCACGCTTGGGGTCTTCAACGGAAACATAAAACACACCTTAAACCCTTACTTCCCCTGGGGGGGGGTGGCCACGTGGCTCCGCAGTCCACTTTGGTTTGCGGGTCTCCCTTGGAGAACTAGTACATACTTTTGCAGAATCAGGAAATGAAATTAAATTAGAGGAAACAAACCCTGACAGTCCAGGGTACGAAGACGAGTGCCCCCGGCTCTGTACCCACTTAGGGGTTTAACCAAAGAAGGATTCTCCCAAGAGACTTGAGAACACGTGATTTCTGGGAGCATTTATGGCAGAACACAGCCTAAGACCACAGCTGCAGAGCGCCCAGTGTTCAGCCCTCACCGGTCACCCTGGGGTGATGCATGCGCTGGCTCAGGGGGCTGCCCCGCACCCCTGGAGATGCACAGCAACCTCGGCATGGAGGGAGGGGACTCCAGGAGGACAAAGGCACTGGCCCGTGATGTGTGCTACCGAAGCACACCCATAACATCTGATCCCACGTACGCACCACCGGCTGACACCTCAGGGGTCCCCATGGAAGGGCGCTACCGGGAGCCCAGTGGCTCTCTCTGGGGCCTGGTGACTCAACACCAGCCAAGGCATGGAGAGCCTTGTCCCTGACAGTCACACGGCTGAGCAGCCGCCGGTGCAGGGCAGCCTCCCCTCACCATCCAGTGCTCCATGGACCCGAGCCCTGCGCCCCCGAACGCCGCGCACAGAAACATGACCCCCCCCGCCTCGGGCAACTTGCAAATACCTGAACCCCGAGCCTCCAGGAGGCTGTGGACGGGCAGGGGTGGCCGCTGACAGCTGACCGTGGGCACAGTGGCCAAAGCTGATGGGGGTGGGGTGGGAAAGGGGGAAAATAGACGGGACACTCAGGACAGAAGATCCCACAACCCAGAGGACACAGGAGGCAGCCACCAGCCAACACAAATCTCACTTGGCTCTGGATTCAAACAAAACTATTTTTAAAATTCTATGCCATTTATGACACAATTAGAACTTTCAACACCAACTGGCTGTGTCATGGCACTAAGGAGTGGCCACTCGTTTTCTTCAGTGTAACAATGGCACTGCTCTTTAGTTAAAAAAACACTCCCTCTTTTAGGAACCCCCTGGGAAATATTAAGCAAAATAACAACGATAAAAAGGATGTGCTTCCAAATAACGTAGGGGGGAGGCAGTGGATGGGGGCAGGCTGAGGCAAACGGGCCAGGAGCCGACACAGCGCCACTGACACCAGGGGCCACACGCGCTTCACTAGCAAACAAGCAAACTAAACAGGGGAGGCAGGACCACACATGGTGACATCATCTGGATGTTACCACAGGTCATCTGCCTACTGGCCACCACCTTAGCTGGATACTTGGTAGGGACAATGAGACAAATCTTTAGTCCTGCTCTAACCAGGGACAGAAATACCAGCATCCTGAGGTTTTCCTGAGACCGCTGTCCGTGCAGCGGGGTGACCCAGATGAGCAGTGGGGGTGACGCACGTGTTAGTGCTGGGAGGGGATGCCTGACTGGGAACAGGACACACAAGTGGCAGACACGAGGAGCGAAACGCCCATAACCCTGGATTAGGATGGCCTCCAGCTCCGTCCCTGGAAAGGGGCAGAAACACGCACCCCCGGCAGAGCGCTGCGAGCCCCGCTGTCTCCAGGCCACCCATGCTCACAACACGCACAAGGGACAAGGCTGTCATGGGACCAGTGGTGGGGACACACAGGGCACGCGGGACACGCCACAGAGACCCATGAGCCTGAGACGCCACGCGCCCTGGCGTGGTAAGGACAAATGCCAACCACTCAAGGGCTGGCGAGGACGGGCAGTGTGCCAGGCTCGTGCTGCGACTCGGACACAGCTCGTCACCCGTTAGCCCCTGGAATGCACACACCTGCCCGCAGCACTCTTGCACAGGAATGCTCACAGCACCCTTATGCTTCGTGGCCCAAAAAGCGCATGACCACGTGCTGCTGGCAGGCAAGCAGGTGAGCGCGCACCGTGGAACAGCCGCCCACAGAACAAGGCAGTACGAGACACCCAACTGCAGGGTCCAAGCCACCACCGAGTGACAGAGCAGAGCCACCCTCAGAGCCTGGTATGTGGAGTGGACAGGCAAAGCCAACCTAGTGACAAAAAGGACACTAGACGCCATGGGGGCCGCGGGCATGGATGGGAACAGGACCGCGTCAGGTGGGAGGAGTGTCTATAAAACCGCGTAGAGTAGACATGCCTCTGTGCAATGTGTGTCTCTTGATAAAGTTGATTTTTAAAAGCCCGGGTCATGACCCACTGAATAAGACGGGAACCTGAGCGTCCACCCTCACTTAAAGAATCAACGGGACGGAAGGCGTTAGCAGAGCCAGGGCACCAGCAACGTGACACTGGGCTATCTGATAGCGGAACCCACGCTTGTGGCAAAGCCCCTCCCCGGTCAGGCCTGTGAACAGGGAAGCATGGATTCACTGGGACAAAACTACCAAATAGGGTAGAACACTCGAAAAAGCACAAAAAAACCCTGAATTAATTTTGAGAACTGTCCTGACAGAGAAGCCTGGGCCTGGGTGTCAGTGCATCTCTCCACAAGTCCCCTTCACAACCGATTCTGGAGAGGCCCGCGTGTGGTCTGCTGCTCCCAGGCACGCATGCGCCACAGCCAAAGCCAGCACACCCGGCTCACCTCTTTTCCTTCTCCGTTTGGTGGGGGCTCGCGGCGTCGTGGGCCGCTGATACACGGCGGTGCTCAGGCCAGAGGCGACAGCTTCGATGGTCTCATCGAGCAGAGGGGACATCAAGTGCCTCGGGATGTGCTGCACAGCACAGGAGGCGCTGGTCAGCAGGGCCACCGGGCCAGGCACAGCAAGCGCCCTTTCCCAGTGAGGACGTCGGGCAGTGCCACAGTAGTGGCAGCACCACCCCTGGCCCTGGCAGGAGCCGTGAACCCACTCCACGGAGTCTGGGGCAGAAGCTGAGGTCCCCAGCTGGCATCACCCTCTCACTTCTAACAGACCAACTGCTGAGTGGTTCCCTAGGGCAGGGACCTGGGGACAAGCCCAGGTTGGGGGTGGCTGGGGAGGTTTCCCAAGAATCAGGATAAGGGCAGGAGCGAGGGAAAGGCACAGCCAGGGCCATGAGGGCAGAGCCGAGCCCCACAGCATGGTGGGTGGGGGGACACACACATGGGAGGGGTGGCAGACTGGAGACGGCAAAGGGCAAGGGGGGGTGCAAGGGGACGCAAGGTGGGGGTACAGGAAGTCCGGGGGTACGGCAGGCATCTGCTCTGAGGACGGGTGGTGGGAGTAGCGTTTGGGACGAGGGTACCAGAGCCCAAGTACCCCCTGGTCTTAACCCACCCCCAACTCGGCTATGCCCCATGGGCGGGCGCCTAGGCTGTAGAGGAGACAGCCCACCCACATCCCTGCTGCCAACTGCAGGTCACTTCCAGGTTTGGGGAGCAGACGTGGAGGCAGAGGGGACAGCAGAATCGGGGCCCTGAGGGAGAGGGGCCACCACCTGGATGCCCCTGGCCGTGGACATGCGGTTCCGGTTCACGGTGGCTCGGACACGCTCACTCTGCCGTGTCCTGGCAATGGCCCGGGTCCGTCCTGTACGAGGCCGCAGCCGGCTGGCGGTGGGCACCACATCAGCCAAGAGCAGGGACACCTCCTCGTCACTCACGGGGTCGGCTTCTGGGGGGAAAGGAGAACCTGGGGCGCTGCACATCCGCTGGCTGGGCCCTCACCTGCAGGACTGGCTAGGCAGAGCGGCCATGCCCCCCAGCTCCCACCCAGGAGTGCCCTGGCCTGTCCGCTCTGAGCTGTGCTCCGACAGGGCACTACCTGCGGTGGAGGCAGCAGCTTCGGGGACGACACACTCCGGACAGAACCACTCGTCCACCGGCACCTCCTGGAGGGGGGGGTCCAGACATTCCATGTGGTACCTGCAGAAACAAAGGGCCAGTAAGCCCAGGCACAGAGGACTCCAGAGCAGGTTTCCAGATTCACCCAAGACAGCAACACACCTGCTGAAGACAGAACAGCGTCCCTATGCCCACACAGGCACATAGAGACGAGGCCTTTGGGGGTTGAGCAGGGTTAAATGAGGTCATGAGATTGGGGCCCTGACCCTCAGGGGAGGGGAGACAGAGCAAGAGGGGCGTCTGCAGCCAGAAAAAGCTCACCAGAACCGATCTGCTGTAGTCCAGGCTGGACTCCACCCAGTCTGCTGAGAGGTCCCCCCAGAGGACACGTGGAGGCCGGCCTGCTGAGAGGTCCAGCATTTCACACGCGAGACCCTGTTCTAACTTACTACAGCCCTTCCTGCCGAGAGGTCCAGCATTTCACACGCAAGACCCTGTTCTAACTTCCTACAGCCCTTCCTGCCAGCATCTTGGATGGTCAGACTGCTATGGCAGGGTTTTGGGCAGCTCTACCCTCCAAAGGGGGCCCTAATGGGGCCCAAAGTCCCCACAGGAGACATACTTCGTGGAAGGACCAGGCTGGGAAGGCAGCAGTATGACCTGCAGGGCTCCGCGGCCAGCTGCCTCACGCCTGCCTTCGCCTGGGAGGCTGGTCTCTGGCAGGGCCAGCTGTCCGCTTTCGTCTATACCTTCCCCCACTCCACCATCACTGCAAGCGGCCCAGGGAATTCCTAACCCACTTCACAGTCCAGTCTGAGAAGAAAAAAAGGCTGTTTGCTGGAAGTAACGGGAATGCTACCTATGTTTTAGCTTCTATTCCGTTTCTAAGGAAAGGCGTGTGGGGAAGCCACTGCTGGCAGGGGCCACGGGGGCCAGACTCTTCCAGGCTCCCTCCCACGGCCCCGGGCGGACAGCCCTGAGTAGGCAAAACCCAGCACGGGCAGCATGCTGGCGCCCAAGGCCCCGAGCTCACACTCGATTCCGTTTAAGGTCCATGCCTGCTCACAGCACTGAAACGGCTGAGGGTCCAGTGAGACACAGGATGGACAGGAGGGGACCGCCCTCCACGAGCCCTCCTGGGACCCCAGTCAAGAGCCAAGGAGGACGGATGTGGGAGCAGGGGCGGGGCGGCTCCTGCCTAGGCCAGCAATAAGGAGAGGGGAGCACCCCCGAACCTCAAGTCAGCTCCCGCCTGAGAAGGTCCTTCCCAGGGTCTCAAGAAAAAAATCAAGAACAGAGAGGTGGCGTCTCACACCTGAACATGGCTGAGCCCGTGTCCTCACCAAGCTCCAGGGGCTCGAGCAGAGGCCCCAGTGCACATGACAGCTGCCCGGCCCAGCCAGCCTGCACCCGCTGCCCACCAGGACAGTGCCCGCTGCCCCACCTGCTCAGAGACCGGCAGCTCCCGGGTGGCCATGACCTGCTTGCCACCCAAAGCGACGGCCACAGCTACGTGGCCCGGGAGGTCCTGGGGTGTCTCCCTAGTGAATAAATACCTTTAGGTTAGATTTCAAGTTTTTAGAAAACCAGAAATGATCCATACTTTAGTTCACATACTAGTGCAAGAATCTGGCACACTCGCGCACCTACAGCCAGCCTGTGGTTCCGTTTTACGATGAGTAATGGGATAATTTCAGACTTGTGATTTTTAAGCTAACAGGATAACTAAGAAAATTTAGCAGACTGCAAATATTATTAACACGTGAGGGTTTCTACAAGAGTGAGAATCACAGAGTTAAGGTTCCAAACCCATTTATCAGAGTTAAGGTTCCAGACCCATCATGATTTTTATGTACTTGACTTGTTTTAGCTGTTAAATAATTCAAGCACATAGAAAGAAAATCAATACATCAAATTTACATGTGTACTTTACAACAGTGAAAAAAACTTCATGAAGTTGTAAAAATCCCCCAGTCACTGTTAAAAGTTACTAGCATTAAAACCAGATCTTGATGTTAAGAATTACAGGCTCGGTTTCAAGCTTAAGGAGAAACCTCAGCTTTGTGAGTGACAGCTCCAAGAGCCGCACCCAGGCTCACAAAGAGCCCGAGGCCACAGAAGGCACACGAGGCGGGCACTTGGTGGCCGCGAAGGCAAGGCCAGTGAAAGGCCAGGGACGAGGGCCCTCCCCCCACACCGTGCTCGGCCAGCCGCCCCACAACCTTCCTTCCTGCCGTGCCCAGCGCGGTCCTGGGTGCTGGGCTGCCCTCCAGGCCCAGGGTCCCCATGACACCACGCTGCTCCAGCTGTCCACTCACACTCAGTCAGCGCTCACTAGGCTTCAGCGGTGGAAGGGCACACACTGGACTCTCGGGTGTGGGACCCCAAGCCCCACTCCTGTCCCCAGACGCACAGCGCCTATTGCAGCAGTAGACACTGCGACTTCTAGGAATCCCTGTAGGCCAACATCACCAGGTAGAGTGAACTGTCGCCTAACACGGCTGCAAGCTGAGGCTTGCGAGACGGTGGGGACAAGAGGCTCGCGAATGTGTGAGTCCAAAGGGTGGGGGCCAAGCCAAAGCCTGGGACAGTCTGCACGGGACAGACATAAGTGCCCAGAGCCCGTCCCCCTCCTGGCCACCAGGGCTCCTGCCCCTTACTTCACGGCTCAGCCCTCAGAACTGCGACTGGCTGCCAGAGAGACGAGTTCCGGGTCTGTGGCCTCCCAGGATCCCTTCACTTCCTTCAGGGCGTGTGCCCCATGGGAATGGTTTCCTCAGTCCTCGCACCACAATTTTACAGCAGAAAAATTCTTCAGATGTATAAGAAAACCCTCGCGGAGGCTGACCAGGAGAGGGTCTGACTAGAACCGGGGACGACAGTGCCAGGCTCCTGAAAGCCAGTGCCTGCTGGACACAGCCCAGTAGCAGTACGGCCAGGAAGCATGAGGGAGACGAGCAGCCATGTGCGGCAGCCACAGGAGCCCCTCCTCCCCTAAGCCTGGCCTGACAGAAAGGTGGGGTTCAGCACACCCCCCACCTTGAGCCCCAGGCCTGCTGGCTAAGCTCCACCCTGTTTTCTCAGGTTTTCCCTCACCTTTTTCCTGTCTTTACGTATTACATGCGTCCCTGAAAGCAGCTCGAAGTATTTGGGGGAAAAGGTGAGGGTATAAATGCAACAAAAAGAGCCTGGAGGGGCCGGCCAAGTGGCGTGTTGTTTGGGAGTTGGCTTGGGACACCAGCTCTGAGCAGCAAGGCTGCTGGTTTGGATCCCACATGAGGGCCAGTGACACTGCGCCCTCTGCAGCTAAGATGGCGAACAGCAGCTCGACCTGGAGCTGGGCTGCAGTGAGTCGCCGGCGACAATGTAGGCTGCAGTGGGCTGCCTTAAGCTACCGTGAGTGGCCAGCAGCCGCTGTGAGCTGCCAAGAGCTGCCGTGAGCAGCCACCCAGAGGCCGGCGACCGATCTGCCTCAGCCGGGAAGAGCGCAATGATAATACCAACATGGGCCAGTGAAGCGACATCCTCCACAACTAGACTGAAGAACAAAAAGACAGCCACTTGTCTGTTCCCCTTCCCCGATTCCCCAGCGCTGTTCCCCTCCCCCAATTCCCCAATAAAATCTTTAAAAAAAAAAGAGCCTGGGGGCCAGCTGCTACCAATGGTGTCACAACACATGGTGCTGAGGGCGGGCGGTGCACCAGCAGACGCCGGGACGTCCTGAGCAGGGGAACAGCAGTGCCACGTGACTTCCCTCTAATGGGTCGGGGCTCTGCAGGCCACAAACTGACTTTCTACACGTCAGGACTCCCCGTGCATCTCAAGCCCCAGGAAGGAGTGCCAGCTATGGACGAGCAGGCCCACAGGGGACCCACGCTCACCCGGCATCACAGCCGTCGCAGAGGAGCAAGCGGTCCTCCCGGTCACTGCGGCCGCACACCTCACAGAAGGTTGGGTCCTCCTCCTCCTCCTCCTCCTCTCCGGCTCTGGCGTTCTCCACAGGAATCTGGAGGCAGACAGGCACTGCTATTCCTCCACGTGGCAGACGGAACCCCACCAAGTCCACACACACCCGGGTCTGCACTCAGCCCAGAGCAGACCGTTCGGCTCCTGGAGACTTAGCCGGGCTCCATGGACCTGGAGGTGCCGAACTAACCAGCCTACAGCAATTTGATGTTTCCTGGCCATTTCAGGGTAGTTAAGTAGGAAAAAAAAGTAACTCGACAGAAAACAAAGTGACACCATGGCAAGGTCCCAGCGGGGAGCGAGTGCTGGAGACAGCGTGGTGCTGCCGCTGCCGGGAACCCGCTCCACGCACTCCGCGAGGCACACACTGCCTAACAGACACCACAGCCATGAGAGCAGGAAAGCAGCACTCAAACAGCAGGGCTCAATCTCTCGAGAACTGTCACAATTAAACAGACACGGACACATGACTACCAAACACGACAGTCACAGCTGTGCACTGAGAGCCCCAGGTAACGGGCTTCCCGGGGCGTGACAATCAGGCTTCCATCTGTCAGGCCTTGACCTGTGTAAGGACTAGAGACATGCCCTCTCCAGAGAGGGTGCCGCCTCGCCTCCTGCCCACCACCTGACAGCCCCGCCCAAGGGACATGCCTGAGACACCCCTGGCTATGTTCTTGAGCCAGGCAGGATTCAGCGCTCTCCTGCACGCTGTTCCTCTCAGATCCTTTTCTCCAACCGGACTCGCCCCTGCATCTCCCTTCATGCAGAGGAAGAGTTCAGGGTCCACATACTTAATCAGCAGTTACTGCAGTAAATAAAGGTTGCCTACGTGGAAGCTGCCAACACAGCCAGAGGCTTCGGCTGTACGAGGCCCAGGCCCCGGGAAGGAGAGCAGAGTGCCCACCCAGAAAGACAACGGGGGCCTGAATCAGAACCAACGCTGCCGCCTCCAGCACAGACGGAGAGCACTGTGCACGCCGCCAAGGAGAGCAGGCATGAAGCTACAAGACTCGGTGCCTCTTCCCCGTGCACAAGATCTAGGCACGTCCCTGGGAGTCTAGTGCTAGTTTTTGACAGCAGGCGTGTGGAGGAAAAGCAACGGCGAGCACTGGAGAGCAAAGAAAAATGGCCCCTGGTTCTGCCCTCCCAGCAAACGACAGGGCCCGGGACCTTCAACCTGCACCAAGAGCACCACGTCCTCTCCCGGGTCTGGGCTGCACCGTGACCTTGCTCCCCTGGGGCCACCGTGGCTCCAGAGGGAAGAAGCTCTGAGATGGGAGTGGGGAAGAGGAAGTCCAGTCACCCCGCGATGCCCCACTTGCCTCCCCCCAGAACCCACGTGGGCCAGCATGGCTGAGAATGGCACTTCGGGAGATTTCTAAAAATCATCTGGCCAATACTCACTCATCTCAGGAAAGCAAACCACTCTTTGAAAGTGTGTTTTCCCACAAGACAAGGATCGATGCGATGAGCACAGGACAGGGTGGGCTTCTGTGCTGCAGCGTCTACACTCACCTTCTTCAAGATTTTACCGCCAAAATGGGCTCGGATACAAATGCACTTAAATATAGTGCGGTCGACTGGACAGGAGTTGGCATTCTGTAAGAAATAAGAACCGAGTCAGAATGCTGCAGAACCCCTTTCACTATTAACACCATCTTTAAAAAAACACTGCACTAAGAACTCAGAAATTCCTTTTACGCTGAAACCCACGCATTTATGGAATGCCTACGTGTGTCAGGCCCTCTGCTAAGTTGCTGGGGACACAGCTGTGACGAGACAGAAATCCCCACCTCATGGAAGAGGAAGGAGGAAAAGCTGACTGCACGCGCACACACGGCATGGTAACAAGTGCTGCGGAAACTAAACGGTGGACGAGAGGGAGTGTGGGGGACAGAGGGGCCACTCAGGCCCTTCCTCTGGGGCCTCCATTCAAATCCGGGGCCAGTGTTTCCACCAGACTGTCTGACATTTCTTAGTAAATTCTGAGGACTTCCTTATATAGTGTGGACACTCATCAGACGTGCTGCAGATATTTCCTTGCCTTTATTAACAGTGTTTTGACACACTTATAAGTTCCTAGTTTTATATCGTCTTTATTAGGTACATTGCATACACCAAAAGAACTTACCTCATTACTTTGACAAGGTCTGACAAATTTATACCCCATGTAGCCACCACCCAAGCCTGCCCCCAACTCTACTCCCCTGGGTTTCAGTGCCTCTCACACAGCACACGGCTCTGGCCACACATGTGCTCAACCATAGGCCCCACATAGCTGCCGTTCCTGTGGTGGAGCTGCCGTATGCACGCTCAGGTGACGGTGGACTCACTTGGTCCTCCTTGTTGGCTCAGAGCATGGTGCCTCATTCAGTGGGTACAAATGTCACATCCCCACATGCCAGAGAAGCCCTGGGCTCCCCTGCTCCCCATGCAGACACGGACGGTGGGCTCTGTCCTCCATCTGAGCCTAACAGTTCGGATGGTGGGCTCAGTCCTCCATCTGAGCCTCCCAGTGGCTGCACAGTGCTGTCACCTTGTGGTGACACAGCACATGTCCTATGAGTCCTCTCTCTGAGCGGCTGTGAGCCGTCAGGGGTCCTTCCCTGCTGTCCAACCCAGCCGCCAGCATTCTCATCTGCAGACTTCAGAGCGCTGCTCTCACTTGCATCTGGAAGCCACATGACACATGTGTGGTGAGAGCTAGCCCCTTACCCGTCTCACACACATTGACAGAAGAACCCCTTTTTGAAGATATGAGGTGTCGCCCGCCATCTGCTAAGTACACCGTCTCCTCCAGACCTGGTTTCTATTCCTGCACCAAATTCCAGCATAATCACTAGAGTTTAAAATCTTAATATCTAGGAGGTGACCTCTCCCTTTTCAAAAGTAGCTTGGCAATTCTTGGTATTTTCTTTCTCTCCTGCAGGAATCCCACATCCATCAAGGGCCCCGGACACCGTGCCAGGACCCTGCTAAGCCCACATTACCACTGCCCTCTCTCTGGAATGAGACTTCCAGGAAGCGGGCCTCCTTCGCTTGGTCTCGGTTGTTTTAGGAAAATTCTCTAAATGTCCAACACGTCTTCTCATGACTTATTTCTAAGTGCACTGCAGTTTTTAATCTTTGTCTACCTTTGATCCAGCAATCATGCTGGATGCAGCATTCCAACAGCTCACTTGCAGAATATCTACCGGAGGTGCCAAAAAAATGTGCACAAGCGGACACGCTGGTCAACGTTGCTCAAGCAGTACTTCGCCATATCACAAGTGTCTGGACGCTGATGGGAACCACTTTGAGCACCTCTTGTAATTGCAGAAGTCAAATGTGACTTGTATTCATCTTTTGTTATCAGTATACATCAAGTATTACAATTTTCATAGTTTTTCCCTTTGTTAAAACATACATACCTTTTTTTGGCACCCTCTGTATACTGATGGAGATACGCAGCAAACACCCTGTCGGTCCCTCATTAAAAGAAGGCTTCACTTGCCCCCAAAATCTAAGCCTGGCTCTAATCTGGGCAGCAGCTCCACTAGCACAGAGCAGAGAACAAGTAGCAAAGTCAGAGACATGCCTCCAATGACACTGCAGGGAGCCAGCAGCCACGTGGCCACGTCGACAGCACGAGTGCCACCTTGGTCCTGAGTCACACACACTGACTGCACAGGGGTGGTCCTGAGCTGGCTGGGAAAATGAGGCCAGCAGGCCTGGCTGTTAGAAGCTGCTGTCACTGTCAGTCTCGCTGAGTCACACGACGGTGTGGGGGTCTGTGACCTTCAGTATCTGCGGTGGAGTTACAGGGTGGTTGAGAGGATGAGGCAGAGTAAGAAAGATAGAGGTGGCGGTTCTTGGAGACGGCGGCAAGCACTGGGGTATGTATCGTTCGTCCTTGTACTGTTTTACTTTGAAATTTTTCACAATAAAAAGTTTATCAAGTAGGCAGGAGTCCTGCTCCTAAAGTTTGTCATGAAATCCACTGCATGTTTGTGGTAAACTGCCTTCACGTGTTCCAGGGATGGCCCTGTCCTCACTGTCACCACGACTCAGCACTCAGTGGACTCTGGCTGGCTGCACCTCTGTGATGGCCACACACATTGGCTGCCTCGCGGAACTCCCGTCGGTCACTTCCTCGTGCAGTGCACACCACCCACAGCCCGAGGGCCAACGAGGCAGACACAGCAAGGTCCCAGTGAGGACTGCGCCCTGAGTCCCCCCGTGCTGCAGAGCAGAGGGCCACACCACAGGCTGGCCCCCAAAACCGAGGGCCGTCCTGAAGGGAGAAGAACCCCAAGAGAAGCCGCCTCACCTTGGACCATTCCACGATGCAGTCCAGGCAGAAGTAATGGGCACAGCTCTGCGGGGTCCCCACAGCCTGGTCCCTGAAAGCGTTGAGACAAATGGGGCAGCTCTCGGCATCGTCATCAGAGTTAAACGCACCGTTGGCCTCGAAGCCCCCCGGAGTATCTGCCACTATCTCCACGTCGTCGTCGTCGTCTTCAGAATCTTCAGGACCTTGAGAAAGAGTTACCACTGTCATTGAGTGACCTGAGCCCTGGGAGTGAGTGGCCACAGCTACGCTCAGGAAAGCAGATCCCTGAGTCCTACTACAGAGGAGCAGACCCCTTTCCCGCAGCCCTGCCAGGTGTGACCGGCACTGGCACCTCACCACAAGCTGCTTCCACGCTCAGGGGACACCAGCACAAGCCCGCCCTGGAGTAGAATCCGAACCCTGGGGGGAAGGGCAGCCCGAGGCTGGCTGACCGCTGAGGCCCCTCCTCAACACACTGTGGGAACAAACTGCCTGCCTTCAGGTGACATGCCCCTAGAGGTCCGGGACACAGACAGGACAGGTTCCTAACTAGGCAGTCTGGCCCAGAGTGCTGGTCAGCCTCTGAGTCAGAGAGGTTGAGGCTGGGGCAGGAGACGCTTTCATGGCACAGTCAACTTATGCGTTTGCTTCTCTCTCCCTTCCAAAGTCCGTTAAAATAAAGTCACGTGCATGTGAAAGGACAGGCAAGTGGCAGCATGGCAACAGGGGCCTTACCGGCCCCTGACCTACCAGTCCAATCCCTCTGCACATGGGCAGCACCAGTGCCCACGGCCCTGCTGTGACATGGCTGAGAGGTTAGCGGATGGGCTCGGCCCATCAAGCCAGCTCTTCAGAGATGTCCACAGGCGGACAGCCAGCGGGGCCAGAGGAGGGGTGGCCGCTCAGGGTGCTCCCCGCCTGGCAACGGCCAGAAGCAGGACTTTGGCTGAATCCTGACAACAAGGTGTGATTCTGAGCCTAAGGTGGGAACCATGGCCCCATGAGGCCTTGACGTCAGCAGGCGAGACCGAGCAGAGGGGCAGCCAGCCGCATGTGGACTTCGACCCACGAACATCTGTCCTCAGCAGTTACATTCGTGATTTGTCACCCAGGAAAAAAACGAATAAAACTTGTGTTCACAGAATTCTGGAAGCTGGCCGGCGGAACGCAGTGACACTGACTCTGTTCAGTCTTCCTGCTGTGCTGAGGGCCAAGGGGGCAGGAGCAGGTGAGGCCGGAGAACGTGACTCCTCCTGTGGCGCTCTGGGAGGCTCGAGCTGAAGGGAAGGCAGAGCTGGCCATCTGAGGGCCACCAGGACCTTGGCAGCACCTGGGACCTCAGGACAAGGCCTATGAAACCTAAGGGCAGTGACCACCCAGAGCGAGAGCGGCAGACACAGCAGGTGCGCAAGGCCGAGCCATCAAACTCTCCCCACTCTTTCTCAGGGGCTGCTGGGGACTGGACCCCACTCGATGAGGGTGCCAGCCTGGCATGGTGGCCAGCCTGCAATCTCAGTGCACATGAGGGCAGGGTCCAAAAGAAGGGCACTCTTACATGACGACCACACTGAAGGAGAGGAGAGCGGACGGGGGCCTGGCGTCAAGATGGTGAGGCTGAGCACGAGGGCTGCACCCCAAGCAGATCAGGTGTGCATCCGGCCCCCTGCAGGACACTGGGCACACGGCCTGGAGAGCTAGGAGGGGCAGGTAAGAGTCCTAAGTTCTCATCTTCCTGGTAAGACCTGAACAGATAACACCTAAAGTTGGAAACTCAACAAACAGCAGTACAAGCAAGTGCTGTTCCGGAATAAACACTGGGCGAGAAAAGCAGCAAGACAGGACGAAGGGCTTCCGCGGGAAGCGCCAGGCCTGCAGGGGTGCAGCCAATGCCCCTGCAGAGCCCCTTTCTCGGCATCTAACCATGCCTCCCACCAGCTAGACGTGGCTACTTTTCATGTCTTTCAAAGACTGGTGCCGGAGGGGCAACGTGGGGTTCAATGAGTGTGCACCCTCGGCTACGGCTGCTGCCTGCGTGCCTAGCGTGTCCGCAGGCCACGTGCTCAGGCCTCCTTCCCTCCTGGGCACTCGGCTCTGTACCAACCGCCCCTTCATAGCTTGCGCCCCAGCCCCACGCCCACCACTGCCCGTCCAGCCCCGGCAGAGACATCGTTTCTCCAGAAGCTTCTCCTCGCCGCCCCAGGCTCAACGAGCTCGTCCCTGATCTGCGACGCCCAGTCCACCCTCCTGCCGTCTGTCACCTAATATCCCAACTGCCTCTTTAGGCCACTGTCTTTGCTGCTAGCTGGTGGGCTTGGGGACAGCGAAAACGCAGACAAGCTGGCTCTTGCACTCCCCTCCAGCCCTCAGCCCAGATTCTCTGGACCCAACAGGCCCTGACACCTTCACCTTCAGCCCTGTAGACGCCAAGTGCCTGTGCCAGGACCCCTGCAGAGGGAGCCAGCACCCCAACTCAATCTCGGAAATGAGCGAAGAGCCACACGTGTGACCCGCTCTCAGGACGCTCTCACATCCCTATTCAGAATTCAAAATCTAACTCTGAAGAATGTTTTATCACCAACACAAAGTCACAAACTCACACTGATTGGGCTGTGTCAATCCTGTTCCTTCATGGGCACTGTCCCAAATGTGAGGGGACATTCCTTTCTGGAACATAATGCGGATAACCACAGAAGCTTAAAAGATTGTGATGAACACATTGTGATAGATGCTTTAGGACTTGACGACTATTTCAGAAGGGAAGCAGTGGTGAGCCAAACTACCAAGGGCCAGCACCCTATCGGTAGAGGGCCGAGTATGCCCTTCCCCCGAGGAAGGGGACCACAGCTGGCTGGGACAGGAAAGGGGACACCGCAAATGCACCCAAAGTTGAAAAGCATGGCCCTCGGGTGGCAGAGCCCGCCCTTTACAGCAGCGTTCCCAGCACACAAGTTCCAGGGCACAAATGCCGAGCGATGAAACTGTGCCGGAACTTCTTAATAAAGCCATTTCATGCACTTGCCAGCTATCTCGGGCAGAGCCAGGGGAGGAGCCACGGGACGGCCCGCCGAGTCCTGGATGGTGGGAAACCTGCCCGAACGGGGGCGCAGGGAGCTCATTCTGTCATGGCCAGCTGGTTGTGCTGCTCTGCGTCTTCAATCAGACATTTTACGCTCCCACCCTCACCAGAGAAGAGACCCATCGAGTTGTGTCACCAAACCGAAAGGAAGGATTACAACAAAAGTAAGCCATCGCTGCGGCTGAAGGTGAGGACTCGCTGCAGGAACCGGCACACAAAGCCCACTGCGCAGAGCGGCCTGTCCCCACTTCTCACACCCCTCACTGGCCAGGGTGCTTAAGGCACCAATTTCACTGATGTTTACAACGCTGTCCCATCACAGCGACAGGGGACCAAAGGAAGCCGCTCAAACATCCACATTCTCACCAGATTCGTCTTCCAGGTTCCCCTCCTCATCTTCTCCGTCAGAGCCATTGCTGTGCTCACTGCCTGTGTCATCCTCAGAGCCCCCGCTGTCGACATCACTGCTTTCTTCTAGAAGCAAAAACACAGGCCCCGGGGCAGTCACAACCTAGGCAGCAGAGCGAGGGCTGATGCACAGGTGTCCCCAAGACACACGCCAAGGAGGCTCTACCAGGGGCTGCCCTGCAGGATGGTGAGGGGGCTGGTGGGGACGAGGGAGGAAAAGCAGCACCTTTCACTCCATTTATATCTGTATGGCTTGCATCAAAAATAAGACAAAAGAATGTACCACTTCTGCAACTTAAAAGCAAAGACTAATTTTAAAAAGATTGAAAGAGGGCCGGCCGAGTGGCGCGATGGTTAAGAACTGGCTTGGGACACCAGAGGGCCCCGGTTCGGATCCCACATATGAGGGCCAGTGACACTGCCCTCCACAGCTAAGATGCTGAACAACAGCTCCACCTGGAGCTGGGCTGCCGTGAGGCGATGGCGTAGGCTGTAACCCCCGTGGCAGTGGGTTGCCATGGGCTACCGTGTGTAGCCAGCAGCCAGCGTGAGCAGCCAGCAGCCACAGTGAGCGGCCGTCCAGAAGCCGGCGACTGATCTGCCTCACCCGGGAAGAGCGCAACGATGGTGCCAACTTGGGCCAGTGAAGCAACGTCCTCCACAACTAGACTGAAGAACAAAACAACAGCAACTTGTCTGTTCCCCTTCCCCCAATTCCCCAGCACTGTTCCCATCTCCCAGTTCCCCAATAAAATCTTTGGGAGGGAAAAAAAAAGACTGAAAGGTAAGTAGATAACATCTAGACCACGGTCAAAATGAAAGCCAGCTTTTGTAGGCGCGAACAGCCTGGTGAGAACACTGGGCGACCCAGCTTCTCCTGGGAGGCGGGAGGCAGGCCGTGCGCAGGCGCTCGCAGCGCAGGCGGGAGAGGCGGCCGGTACTTACCGGCATCACTGGCCAGGGCAGCAGCGTGCAGCCTCCGGTGTCTACCCGGCCCTGGGCTTTGGTCCACAAGCTCGTCCAGGCTGTCGTCATCCATTGCTGGACATCAGAGTTCAGCTCTGAAAGAAACCAATCAAGTAAACCCCCACTGTGCCAGGCTGCAAAGCTCCCCCAGAGAAAGGGTTGTCACTCTACACACTGGTGACATGTGTCCATCTGCAGGACAAGGAGGCTGAGCCGTGAGAGATGATAATACACACAAAGCTGTGCACACAGAGAAATACGCCGATTCTCACCTATGAGGGAGCGACACTCAGTTAGACTCAACTCATAACCTAACTTAGCCTCAGACTGGTGGTGGTGGAGCGAAATGGCTCATAAGGAGCTGAGGCAAAGCAGGGCTTTCAAGGGCTTCCCTAGGCCTCCAGAAAGGCCTAGGGGACAAGCACGGCCCTCTCAGCCAGGGCTGGCCCACTTGGCCACCTCTGGCCTCGCCCTGAGAACATCCCCAGGGCATCGCCAAGTCGAAGGGGGCCTGGGGAGCCCCTCAGCTGCCATGTCCACTCCTTCCTGGGCTCCTGATCTCCACATGGGGACCCCTGTCCTGCGTACTCTGCAAGGCCGCAGCCAGAGGGACGCAGACTGAGACAAATGACCTCACAACTGTAGCGAGACATAATCCTGCTCTTCCTCGTCCCCCAGGACCTCCAACCAGGGTCCCCAAATAAGGGTTCCTTCCTTGTCAGTGTCACTCACTCATTTCCCAGGTGACCCTTAGAGGAGCCCCTCTCAAGGAGTCATTCAGTAACTCGACGGGACAGTGAAGACAGTCCCACCAGTGCTTCCCTCCAAGTCGTCTCCGCGGTGAGAGGGAAGGGGCCCAGGACCAACCGCAGGCAGAGAGGCAAAGCAAGGACCAGGGGAAGGTGGACTGGGCCAGCGGCGTGCCCAGGAGGCCAGGCCAGTCTCTCATTCCCGGATCCCACATGCAGGCACCCCGGGGGAGGGGTGGGGCTGTCCCCAGCACAAGTGCTCCCAGAGAACAACCCCCTGAAGGGGCCAGGGCCCGATTCAGAGCCAGGAGCCTCACTTCCCATGCAAAGCCCGACTCGAGCACAACAGTGAGGGCAGGTGAACTTGACGAAACTGTCAACTGCTACATGTTGCCTCTAACCGGAAATAGTCAACTTAAAGAGGACGTTCTGTGGAGTTAACCCCTAAAGCTAAGAAAACCAACCCCAGCTCCCCTTGACAGAGGCTCTGCACCCCCTGTGCTTGGTGACTCAGCAACGCAGCAGGACCCTGCCTGTCCTGCACCCACCGCCTGGCCACGACTCCTACTGGAGACACAGGCTGACAGACGTGACAGGGCCGCAGGCCACACAGTGATGATGCTGTCACCTGCACAAGGTCAAAGGTATGACAAATGACTGCTGGCTCTGGGGCCCAGTGCTCCTTTCCCACAGCTGCCGAGGCCGTCTTACAGCCCTCCGCCAGAGTGGCGGGAGACTTCCCATTCTGTGAGGCCGAAACCCCTTCCTGTATCGTCACACGACAGTGACTGCTCGCAGCACCCAGGGCAAAGAACACAGGTAGACTCTGTAGGTACTTTCCAGAGCAAGCACCTGTGCAAACACCAAGGAAGAGACCACAATTGTTAGGGGCTGCCAGCACCTCCTCTCCCTGTCAGGAACCCTGCAATCAGAACACTATGTTAACGGGGACCCCAGAGTAGGACCTACTGGCCCCACCAGCAGCCCCAGCTCAAACACACCTGCCTGGACGGACTCACATCCGTACCTCTGCCCATATGTCCAGGGAGCCATTTCTGCAGGGCAGCCCACAGCCCCTCCCAGGTGCTGGCTACCTTTGGGGGTACTGGTGGCACTCTGTGGCTCTCCTACTCAGCCTCCAGACTTGGGGGGGGGCTGGGGGGGGCATTAGACCAGAGAATTTTCCTCTCTCTCCAAATTCAGGGACCCAAAGCACCCACAATTCCAACCATCGCTAAAGAACCGAAAGAGCCTCTGGTGTGGTAACTGGCAACTGTGCCAGGAACGGAATGTGCGTGCCCATCGCCAGGCTCTGGCAAGCGGACCAGGCCAACCTGCCATTCTTTATTCACCGACTGCCAGAGACCACGAGAAGTCAAAACTGTAAACTGCAATGGAAGTTGAAAAGCTGGAGCCCACAGAGGCCTTTGCTGGGCTGACCTGCCACCAAGAGTCCACACTGGAGGGCCGCTGAGAGGACTACAGCCAGGCTCGCCCTGTCGGGGCTTGCCACCGGCCTGCTGCGGAGAACGTGCCAGAAGGTGCCAACTGTTATTCTGACTCATTCTTCCCATAGGGGAAAAAAAAAAGAGAAAAACGAACGGTCCAGGGACAGGGCAGATGCGTAAGTCCCAAGTCAAACCTCACCTCCACTCAGCCCAGGCGGCCACCGGCCCAAATGTGGCTCACCAGGCGGATTACCATTCTGCTGCTGAGGAAACAAGAAGAGGACAGAAACTCCAAAGCTGCTGTGTCACATGGGCTAGTTACTTAACCTCTCGGGGCTCCAACCTATCCATCGGCAAGACAAGAAGGACAACACCCACTCCTGAAAGACTGCCGTGAAGACTACACGAATTAAGGACTAGGAGCCCATCCTATCAACACGGGCCGCCGAAACGCAGACGAAGCCGACAAAAGCAGTGACCACCAGGAGCTGGAAACGAGTGAGAAAGGGTCACACGTCGCCCGGAAAGGGGACAGCGCAAGGGGCGGGGTGTCCCAGAAAGGGCGGGTGGACTCCCAGCGGCCGGGACAGGAAGGCGGCCACCCCCAAACCCAACTGTAGGCCGAGGGACCTGTCAGCCTCACGCGGGGCCCCTCGCGCCGGCCGTAGGGTCCGCGCCGCTGGCCTCACCCCGCGGGGCAGGCCGCAGACAAAGCGCGCGGCGCCCGGAGGCGGCCCGCGCGGACGGGGCGCGACGGCAGCCGCGGGGCCAGCGCC